CGTCAGTTCGTATGAACTGACGTCATCTTACGACAACGCCAACAACATTAGTGCCGTCCGGAACCATTGACCTTAGAAACGCGCCTCTTCGCTTGAAGAGCTGATATGCGTTGATTGTTATTTGTTTCTTTTGCCTACTACAGACCATTCAAAAACTCGCCTTCTGGGTGCCACCAACTTCGTCTACTGGGCTGTGAAGCGCGTTCGAGCGTGCGCAATACCTCTCTAGGCCGAAAGATTGTACACTGAGTATGCGTTCACAGCTCAATGACTTAGGCATTTTTCGTCAGGATAGATGCTCCCACGAGAAGAGCGTAATGGATATGTGAATAGAATTGGAAATTTGAAATGTTCTTGTCCAATCGCATTTTTCTTTGGTTATCAACGCTTTTTAGCATCATCACAAGACGTTCAACCCATAATACACTGGTGATTAAAAAATAAGCACCGAAAAACATGCACCGGTTTTCGCTCAAAAATAAACACCAGAAAAAACATACCGTAATCATTACCCATGTCACCTTTTTGGGTGATATGTGAATTTCCAGAAGAACAGCAAGTTATCACCCTCCCCTAGGAATACCCTGACTACAGAGCAGGCGACCCGTTTTTCCCCGCGTTAGATTGCGGTGACCACGAACCATACGGAGGTCACAGGACGTCCGTGAAAAATAAAAAGGAGGCAAACAACGATCTACTCTGTGCACGCTTCATCCCCGATTTCCACGACCCCAAGGCCGAAGGACGTTTGTGTGAAGGATAACAATAAAATAAAACTTTGCGTCAAAAAAAAAAAAAGCCCGTTTTTAAAAGAAAAAAAAAAGTAGAAACAAGCACAACGCGTTGACGGACCGCGAGGTTGTGGAACACCTCGCGGTCCGCTTGCCACAGGACGGTTGTCTTCGACCCATAGCTCCAAGGTGAATTTGCCACTTGCGAAAACACGGAGACCTACCCAGCGAGAACCAGGAAAGCAAGACACGCACACTGACGCCTCGGCGTGCAGAATGAAACAGGATACGGGCGCGGAATACGGCCGCGGAAGAACACCTCGCACAGTGCCGATCCGGCCGATCTCCGAACGGACGATTTCGCATTTCGTGGACAGCGAGCGCCACCGCACGGGAGAGAGAGGTACCTTAAAAACGACGAAAACAAGCACCGACACCTTGGTTCTTTATATTTGCTGTAGTTACGGAACAAATCGACTTACATGAATAATTTGAATATTATTCGATTCCGTAATAAATTTAGAAGACATTAAGCGCAATATTTCTTATGTTTAAATTTAGATAATTTTGTAAATTCGCTCCGAACGCAAGAGTGCCGAATTAGCCGATTTTGACCATTTTCATGATTTTTTAAAGAATATAAATAAATTTATGATGAAACATTTGTTGCGCTTAGTGACTCGATAATGACTCAATGTCTTTAAAGCCGAAATTTTCAAGAAGATCCGCGCAGCCGTTATTATGTGAGAATTTTTTTAATTTGGTGAAAAACCTCATGTATTCTCTATGGGGCTCTGAGGTGCGCCCCCTCTTAAGTCCAGATACAGCCAACGCTACGAGGTAATGGGGGCAACCAAGCAGCGTCGGAAGCGCAAGTCACTAGGCCTTTTTTTGTTTACGATTGCTTTGGCAATGCTGGAACACGTAAAGAAACATGATGAACACCATGATGGTGCGTCTTTGACACTGCCCGATTGGTCCCATCCCCAAGTACCGTCAGCTGCATCTGGACTTAAAGAAACACTGATTACCCAATCAATATTTTGCTACAGCATCACATATATTTTTAATAAAGTAAAAAAATGCAACTGCTCGAAACCGGAACCGAAACTGGGGAAGAAAACAAAATCTAGAGGAGAGTGTCGTCAAAAATCACGTAGTTGTGCAACTTTTTTTTTTTCTTTTTTTTTTTCACTCAACATATTTGCAGCTTTTTAAAAGCCACAAGATATTAATATAACTTTTTTTTTTCTATTTTTAATATTGAGTGTGTTTCTTCGATGACCCACGACTTTGATTATCTTTGGTGGTTGTGTTTAGACCATAGAAAACGGCACATGACCACAAAGAAGAGAGAGTGAGCACGCCTAAAACTGGCTGGCTCTCGATCGGCGGTTTCCGGGCGGAAAGAAAGCGAATTTCGAGCTGCAAATTGTGTTCTGGGTAGTTGGGCTCTCATATTATCATGTCATGTAGAAATGAAAACCTTCGCAAAAATAAATACCCTGTCAGTGTCCCTTTAAAGGAACACTGACAGGCAATTTATGCTTGCCAAGGTTTCTATTTTTACATGACATGATAATATGAGAGCCCAACTACCCAGAACACAATTTGCAGCTCGAAATTCGTTTTCTTTTCGCCTGAAAACCACTGATCGAGAACTCGCTGGTTTGAGTTGCGCTCACTCTCTTCTCTGTGGTTACGCGTCGTCCTGCGTGATTTAGACACAACCACCAAAGATAATCAAAGTCGCGGGTCATCGAAGAAACACGCTCAATATTAAAAATAGAAAAAAAAAAAGTTGCACAGTTACATGATTTTTGGTCACACTCTCCTTCTCTACATCTGTTCTTCCTCCCCAGTCCAGTTTTGGTTTTTAGCAGTTGTGTTTTCTGACTTTATCAAAAAATACATGTGACGCTCTAGCAAAATATTAATTGGGTAGTTTTCGGACACCATAACAAACTGCCTGCCAAAAAATTAAAAATGTTTTTTTTTAGTGCTGTTAGTGTTTTTTTGCTGAAATGAAGTATAGACAGTCTTAGATAGGTAGTGTAACATATGCAGTATTCCACAGTCTAGCTGACTTAAGCCTAACTAAAAAATGAGCGCTTCCACATTCGTTTCACACCGTTACTTTTTGTAGCCTGTCTGGGAAGAGCCGCGTTGTCCCATCATAACGACATTCGACGTCACATTCCCAGTGTTGCTGACAGATAGCCCACCTAAAATTGAGAACAAATCAGGTGAAAACAGGAAGTGGGCTAACTTTCAATGTCTAACCAAAAAAAGATTAAAAGAAAAAAAAAAAGAACTTGTAACAAAGGAATGTGAAAGTGTGTCGCTTCGTTTGCTCTCCCTCAAAACTTCTAAACGAGCCGTCGTCATCACCGCCCAAAACAAAATGTCGATCACTTCGTCACATAGGTCGTGCAACCTTTCAAACTTGTTATCGCAGCGGTGTGGGCGGGGGTGCTATGAACCAAAGATGACAGTTCTTCGCAGTCAGCATTTGTCACCATTTGTCACCTGCCTAACTTTCCCGTCCTTGTTTCTGCCGACATCGCCCATGGCCCTGCCGGTGCAATTACTAGAAGTGGGCCATCTTTCGGTGTTTCAGGGAAAATACAGAATCGTGCCCAAAGTAGGGGTGGGCCATCTTTCGGGGTGGGGTTTCTTTCGGGTTTTACGGTAGTTTGGGTGCGTCTGATAATGTGTTAAACCAATTTTGAGGAAAATTGGTAACGAAATTTCGCCAGAGCTTTCCTTTAGAAGCTGAGCTACAGAGTCATACTACAGACACTCGCTGCCCCACCTAACGTTTTATTTACAACAGGGTGCCGAACCGGAACGCTTTTCGGTTACGGTTCACACATTTTGGTTCGGTTCAGGTTTCATTGCAGAACGGAAAAAATAATGGCTTCAACTGCATTAGCTAGAAGCCAAATTTTTAATAGTGATTAAATCGGTAATGTTCGAAGGAATACAGAAAGTGGAATCGTTACGAGATTTTCCTCCTGTTTACTAATATCAAAGACAGCTAAACGAGAAATCTTTTGGGAAACAGCAGCAATGAAAAATCCATTATTGGAACGACTCCTTCAATTTGTACGCAATGAATAGGACGCCTTACGTCCTCGCAAAATATAGTGGAAAAATTGATGCCATGTGACAGGCACGTATCCACACTCTTCTCCTCTCCCAAAAAGAATGAGTCTCTTAGCTGCTCCCTGCAAAAAGGACAAAAAAAAAAGCCTTCCTCCTTTGTGGAATGGAAAGAAAGAGGATGGTTTCTTCTTTTCTGGTACAGCGCTGGAAAAAGTACTACCGTAAAATACAGAGACCCCACCTAGTCTACAATGAGTGCCCACCCCTCAATTTTGTAACATTTAGAAAAATACACAAAAAACATATCTTTACACATTGTTGACCTAAAAAACGCCCATCACTCAGTTTGATGAGATTACCTCCAAATTTCGAGCGGACGCTTCCCTGGGATTTTACGATAACTCAGCGCCGCATTCCCTCCTCGCAACACCCCTCGTCAGAGCAAGATTGATTTCATGACAGAAGCGCACTCGGCGCCGAGTTTAATTCTGTCTGCCATGGTAACAAGATGACTTTGTTCTGAGAAAGACGAGGTTGGATGTATTGGGGCAGGCTCGGTGCTTCGGCGGTGTGCCTCGCATGCGCCGAACACGTTGATCTCGAACGTGGGCGAGTCCCCAGAACCCTAAGCGCCATGTTGCATCCTCAAAACTTCTACAACACAAAACACAAGATGGCGCCCGTGAAACCTCTTGTCCCTGCCACATCAACACTGCACCAGCAAGTGCTGTCTCAACGCCAAGGTCAGCGCGGTTTCCCAGTCGTACCGAGTTCTGAACGTGGTGATGAACGGCGTACAGGACTCAAAGCGCATTCTCTGTTTTCTTTCACCATGTCTTTGTCACCTGTGTGCTGTTTATCATCATGTTCAATGCACACCAACTTGCCCGACTCACCACCTTGCTAGCTAGGTTGTATTGTCGACGGAGCCACTCGCCGTGCCTTTACATTTTGGCAACACCAAAGCGGGACGCCAAGAACTAACTGTTTGCATGCCAACTGATGGAAACAGTGGCAGACGCCGTTCATCAACGCGGTTAAATGCAGCTTACCAGAAGTGAAAAGGCATCCCGGAAAACCGCCCGATAGGACCCGGTCGCGTGACACACTCTGCGTTACAAGCCGCTGCCGTACGGATTGCCTGCGGCGTGGCACACTCACTTGCACGGCAGGAGACGGACCACCTCTCCAAGCCTGAAGGGCTCGATGCAGACTGCGCAGCACTCGACCTCACCCTCTGCCTCCTGCAAATGTGAACGACGCACACGTCAGCCACGCTCGCGCACGGTTACGGGAAGAATGGCTGACACTCCCTCTTGCTCATTGCGTTCCTGGAAGATTTGTGACCAAACCCAGTGACAACTGTTCCCAAGTGTTTACACAAAGTTTGATGGCATGAGACGACTGCTCCGGAAGCTTGCTTTGGCGCTCGCACCACAGCAAGAAACAAGTGTATGACATACAGTGTTTTCCAGGCTATGGTTTGTAGGCTACGAGTCTTTAAAAGTTGAAATTTTAAGTGGTGCTGACTATCTATCTGCGGGTGCAAACTGTACAAGGATTTGTTTCTTGAGAATGTCACATTACGACCATTCATGACGGTATTTGTCCTTGACACATTACGTTAATGATGATTTCTGTCTAGTACAAGTTTCTTTGTGTGCTAATAAAGCATACATTTTTCGAGGTGCACTGTGCATAAAAAATTTTGTTTTACGTGCGGATTGTGCACTAGGTGTAGAGTAAGCACCAAGAGTGGACTATGCACTGAGCGCAAACTATTTAGGAAAAAAACCTTTTTTTTTTCCTAAATTTGTTAGGCACAAACAATAAGTTTCGTCTTCCACACTTGGTGCATCGTCTGGTGCACACTTTGTATGTAAAACAATTTTCATACACATCTCACTTTGAACAAATGCTTGCTTTACAGTGCACAGAAAAGCTGCAGGTACGGCAGTGATTACGCATTTGAAAGTTGCAGCCTATACATGAAACCACACTCACCCTGGGAGTTTCTGCTGTCTGCTCTGTACTTGGGGAAACTATAGCTGGTGCGTCGACATGCACCAACATGCACTGCACGGTGTTTCGCCTTGCTGGGACTATTTATAGTCCCGAAATTAGACGCTTTGTGCACTTGAAACCTGTGAGACAATTGCTTCGTGTGCACAGCTGCTCTGGTGGTAGTGGCAATCAAAGCACCCACTCTTCCGATTCAGACTTGAGTGATGGAAGCGGCATGGGACCTTTTGTAGTAGGTTCTGTGGCAGGCAAAATATTGCTTTGGAGCAGCCACTGATACTTTTGGAGCAGATGCCAACATCTGTTAAAACAGCACTTAAGAGTAAAAAAAGTGCTTGCCGCTCAACAAGTTCATTTATGATCCGTGATCAAGGGTTCCTCTTTGATGCTTGAGTGTATTACTCATTACTGTATCTGATGAGAATAGATAGGGCATTAAAAGGAACACAGTCTTCTAATGTAAGGCCTTAGTCAGAGTAGGTTTCATTTAAAATGGGTTTTAAAAAATGGTTGAAAAGCGAATCTTAGTGCAACACTTCACTGGGATAAATCCTCTTTCCTCTCTCTATTTTACACTCGGTGGTTTGTTTTCTAGCCTGTAGATACAATTGCTGTAAAATGCCAGCAAGAACCAACATATCCGCTAACGCGCCTACAGATAAAAATGTATCCCATAAGTTTAGTGACCCTATTAAACTCGAGACTGACACCATAAACTGCGAAAACCACCCCAAAATATTATAAAAGCCCACACTCGCTCTTTAAAGACAATACTACCCTTTAGCGGGAGGGGAACCAGGATTACGTCAAAGTTCGCTGCTCTTTCGATCGACAGCTGCACGGGAACTACCGCGACTACCGTATTTATTCAAATATATAAACACCCTCCTTTTCTTCCCTCTCCTTTCTCTGCCGTTTTACTTTTTTTTAACTGTAGAGATTACCTCACACTTAGGACAAAGAAGTCCGACCTGTAATAATCCTGCGCATTATTTGCGTGCCTATCGTGCCGAGCCAGGTGCTCCCCCAGGTCAGTCGCTGCTCTTAGCACTCCGGTAAAAAGCGGTGAAGGTCGACGTGCGCACACCGGTGAGAGGTTAACGTGAGCGGCGCAAGTGCACGGTACTCTGCAGCCATGGAATGAGGGGCACGTGCCAGACACACTAGTCGAGCGATCTCATCCGGAGTACGAGACTGTGGTTCCGTTTTGTCGCAGTGGTCGCAATCGGCAATCCTACTATTTTGCAAAGTTTTCTCGAGACCCCTAGTTCTTGGTGTCGACGATATCATCTGGAAATTTAGACAACGTCGGCGATCAACCAGCCGGTGTATAAACTGTCCAGAGCGGTTGATACCCACCAATCAAGCGAAGCGAATGTACGGTGACTTGCGCTTTCAGAGCGTGTGTTTGTAGTTGCATGTGTTCGAGCCTTCGAGTGTGCTCCGACCAAAGACGAAACAAACTATACGGTGAGTAGAGACAGCGTGAAATTCATATTTGTACAATTCTTATTTCCTCCTACCTCCCCGAATATTAGGTTCGACCAAGAATAAAACGTCAATCTTTTTGCTGTAAGTCCACCTTGGTGCAGGTGTGGCGCGATTCTTGGCAAAAATGGCATATCCGCACAATATGCAGCAGACGTTCGTTCGTGGCACGATTTAGCAAAAACGGTGCAGCACTTCTGTCACTGAAACTTTGAATGCTTCTCGGAATTGAATTCAGAGGATGAAGGCTAGTCGTTTCCGCCAACACGAAACCGAATTGATATTTTTATTTATAAAATACTGCAAACTATAAGTGGTTCTAGCAGAGAGGAAGAAAAACAATACCAATATCCTTGCAAATCAAGTATAAAACAAGAGAATCACACGTGAGGAACAAATAGCCGGTCAAAGTTCCCGAGCACATATAAAACAGGCACATTGCTACTGAAAGGTCTAAATGGGGAACGGTAAAAAAAGCGAAGAAACAAAGAAACACCCTAGTGCAGTCCACAGTTTCAGCCGAAAATAGAAAGAACAAAGTTGACATGGAAACAAGAGTAATCATTTAGAGAGGTACCAATCTAATCTTCCAAAACTAAATTACCTTAGCTAACGCTTTACTGAAGCACATGGAGGAAATAACGTAGCAACAAAAACAATTCTAGTCACCAGTTGTATGAGGAAAGAATAAACACTTAAACGGATTACTATTTGTGTAAAACGGGTTTGAGGAGCATTGGTGATTGTAACGAGTACGACGAGTTGAAACTAATTTCAGGTTTCAGAATGCGAGAAAGGTAAAAATTTCTTGCCTTCATTATTTCCGTTTGACGCGTCTCAATCTGGGCAGCTTGCAAGCACTGCACGTGCTCCCGTCAGATAGTAAAAATAAACCCGCGCATCGACTTTTTCTTTGTACCATCCCATTGAAAGAAAAACAAACCTGCTAATACACATCTTCCCGAAATGGTTAACATAAGTAGTCACTTACAAACACCGTTGCGTTTCGCCACGACGAAGAATCTTTTAAAACAAATCCTCGTATAGTCCGCACCCGAAGATAGTCCCAAAACGTCGTTTTTTAAAATTTTGTCTTAAAGTGTACTTTATGTTTTATGTACTACAACCCGCACCTTTTATGGCTTCAAACATGAGCCGGCAGTATGTCTGAATAAAAACAAAACCCGTAAAATTAACACTCATCGTCCCCGGAGTGCAGTCCGGAAAACATGGTAGCCAACGTGGTTTAAACAAACGAAAGCCTAAAGAAGAAAAAAAGTTCACCTTGTCGCCCAACCTGAGGATCTTCACTGGAATCCTGTCCAGCGCCTTCTTGGCAGCACTGCACAGTCTTCTCTGCAAGGACAGTCCGTCGTCACCCCAAGCGGGAACGGAGCCACTAAGTATGCTGCGCTCAAGAGCGACGACACTTCGGCCTGGCTTAAAATCGTTGTTGTCGGTTGCCCAAAGTTTCATCCGAAATCGCGGGTAAAGTGCTACTGTCCTATAAAACTTTAAAAGAGCCCACGGTGGAGCAATACAATGTCGTCCGAGCTTCCAGACACCGCATTCAAAGCTCAGGAATTTGCATTTTCGAGTAGTAATTACCGTCAATTGCGCCCGCTCCGCACAAGGCAACAAAACAGCCGAGCTCACCAGACGACCGAGAAATAGAGTGCAGACACTCTAAGAGTAGCTGGCGCTAGGCAGGAGGATGCTCGCACACCAACCCTGAAAGTGGACTATTGCGCGAGTGACGTCTGCAATCCATCACTGTTAGCGTAACGCGAGTGAATGGATAGATGGTAGTGGCTATGGACGTTCTTAGATCTATCAGTTGACAAGCTTTGCGGAAGAGCGTCGTTTGAAAACGGTTCTTCTTTGTTGCCCGCAGGCAAGCGGGTACGGGCGAATGGTGTTCCTAGTGCCACCATCGGCGAAGCCTCCACGGGCAACGAAGAAAGACCGTTGCCTGTGGACAAACATTTGTCAATATGTGCAATGCGGCGAACCACAATAATTGCTACAAATACTACGCCAATCCATATTATTATTAGTACTAGAAATCATTTGTAAGAACAGCTGCGATAATCCTTGCACAAATTTGGTGCCCTCGACCCCATTCGCACGCTGTCTTCGGCTACAAGTCACTCAAACATCCGTGCTTCTTAAGTTGCATGCAAGGCGCTCTTTAAATCGGTTGCCACGCTTTACATAGAGCACAAGTGTCCCGGTGACTCGCAGTCCATAACTTGACGTAAAACCTCAGAACATAGTCAAATGCAACTGTGCAAATGAACTTCGCTTGAGTCATTTACACAGGGAGAGTTTGCCACTTCTGCGAAGACGCCGACGGTCTAACAACCACGGCCAAGGGCATCGTTGTATGTCGCGCTGCCGACTCGTAACAAACCGTGACCGCCTCTTTGGCTTCCCTTCGGTACCGGCTGATCGCATAACTTTGGATTCTGGATCGAACCAGTGGGCTCCTCTGTCACCGTGGAGGCGGCAGAATAGCCCACTGGTTAGATGCAGAATCCAAAGTTTCGCGATCACCCGGTACCAAAGGGAAGCCGAAGAAATCCAATGCAATCCAACAGCAAAAGCATCGTCGCTCTGAATTGCTGCTGGTCCAGTGTCTCTAGAACGTCTGGTCATGTCAAAACGAGGACAGACAGAGGGGGGAGACTTACTGCGAGGAGGTCCTTGGCGTGAATGTAGCGAAACCTCTGGACGTAGTAGAAGACGAGCCAGGCCAGGGAGATGATCATTAGGATGATAAAGGAGATGGAGACAAACAGCACCGAGGTCCGGTTGATGTTGGGGTAGGGGAAAGGCCGGTGGCTGCCCACCGACACGTGCATCACTACCCGGGTGCCGTTGTCCACCAGGCCCGCTATCTGCTCCCCCTTCTCCCGGCTGATGAATACCGAGATGATCTGGAACACTGCGCCAACGAGGAAGCAATCCCCGTTAGGCACATCGGGGGTAAAGAACCCAGGTTCCAAGATTCGAGACACAGAGAGCGTTTGCAACTCGACTGCGGACGCCGCGTGCACAGGTTGGTCGCATGTGTACTTGCGTCGCATGCACGCTTGCGAGGAGGAAAGAGGGTCAGAGAGGCAGAGACACTTGCAGGCAATCGACACTTTCGTTGCCTCCTTGCAGCTTGTATTGCAAATGCAGCCCGCGAGTCACGTAGCCTTGATCAAGCGGTTGGAAACGCTAGGCACACCAATGTTGTTGGTTGATTGGGGGTTAATGGCACATCAGCATCTAAGGCCATAATGTGCCAAGAGTCTGAACTATAGCAGTAGCTAACGTGGGGCAAGTGGGTGCCATATGGTTAAAAAAAAACCGAGACTGCGGGTAACACTAAAAAGTCTCTAAAAGTGTCAAACAGGGTATGGGTGGCATACCCTGTTTGACACTGAGGGGCTAAGACAAAAGCAGAATGCGACAAGAAGACCAATTGGTCGTTCCAACACACTGCAACAAACAGCAATCGATTGATCGATCGTCATTATTAGGATTATTATTATTATTATTGAGATGTTTCGGTACGCCTCGCACGCCTCGACACAGGTTGTTGGGAAATGCCAGAAACCCCTTGCATGCATGTTCAAGAAAAAAAAAAAAAAAAAAAGATTTTGCTTTTTTCAGGGGGATGAATCGGAAGCAGCCAACAACAAGGCTTAAGGAGCATCGATCAACGGGAGAAGCCCCAAAGATGCTAAGCCTCCCAGATTAAAGTGGGAAGCCCTTCTAGGGATTCCCTGGCATTTTCCATTCCAAGGAATTTTGCGGTACCTCCTCGCATAGCCCCTGCCAGATTGGAGCCATTTGAGCTTTGGGCAGGAGCAACGAACAACTCAACAATGAACAACCTTTTTGTTTAAGAAGGAGCACAGAAGGTACACTTGAAACTAGAATTGGCTTGCACGAAAAGAAAAAAAGAAACTGGTGCTTTTGATTCTTAAAGGGGCCCTGCAATCATAATTAAGCGTCTACCTTTTATGCGGTTCCCACGTCTCTTGGGGTTCGGGCAAGCCAGCGGGCACGGAAAGAGTAGCTAAATATCAGTGCACCATATTTTAACCGGACGTCACGGAAAACTCCTTCACCGACAAGGGCGACCCACGGTACCGAAAGTGCGCAAAATGTGACGTCTTTGGTCCTGGGCTTACTACTGGTCAGAGCCACTAAAAACTTCTTTTTGGCCGAAATACAAAATATAAGTGGCGCGAATTGTTTCAATTATTTATAAAAGTAGTTTTTGTTCACTATTATAGATGAAAAAAAGAAAGAAATGCAGTTTATAAAGTACGGAAACAAGAAATGACCCGTCGACATACGCGCCGCCAACCCGACACGGAAAAATCCCCGATGTACGCGGTGGCGCTGCAATCGTATGGACAGGAGGATCCGACCGGCTCCGAGCGTTCCGAAGGCCTTTGGCGAGAGGCTTTGTCTTGTGGTTTGGCCGTTTCACGGTATGGCAGCGCAAAGTGGCTCCCATTCTGAACTGATCTTTACCCCGTGTTTGCTGTCGTTTGTGGCCAATGAAGTGTCATGCCGAATCAGTGTTTAATCACGCAGCAAATGCAATTAAAGCCGCTTTGGCTGCCCGCTGCATACAGCCTATCCAGAACATGCTTTAGTGGCGCCCTCTCGCGCCGCCGACACGGAGCGCGGCGGCCGTGAGCGCTCGATGAGCTCACTATTCCTCCTCTAGTTCATGGCCACTCAAGCCAGGACCTACGACGTCATGAAGGAGGTTATTTTTTGCTTGTTTTTGTAATTCTAAATTGCCTATAACTTTTAAAATAAAGCGAATTTCGCAAAAAGAAAAGTTTCACTAAGTTGCTACGTTCAGTGCGCTCAGGTTCGGTGCAAATTAAAAAACAGTAAAAAGTCCTTGCAGGGCCCCTTTAAAGCACAATGTGTTTTGGGGAAGCTCACTGTACCATAAAGTTTACAAAAAGGCTGATATTGTATGTTCATAGAAGTAATAAAGGTGAAACTTGGACAGTTGAGCATGTTGGCATCTAAATGACAAAATGCAAACTGGGGACATAGAAGGCAATACAGGCGACATGGGATTTCAACATGCAACAAAACGCTTACTCGTTTGGTTTTGTTGCAAGTTGAAGGCCTGCATCATCTGTATTGTCTTCTAGGTCTCTTTTTTGTTTTCCTGAAGGAAATAAGTGTATTATTCTGGCTAGTCGTACACTGAACAACCAATTCCAATATTCAGTCTTGTTGCCGATAGTATTTTGTTGATCAGTTTCCTTGTTGCAGCAGTTGCAAGGAGCAAAGAAGTCAACCGAACGGCTCCATAATGTATGCGGGTCTCACAAATTAAAATCTTGAAGATTTATCCCGCAACAATGATGTAACATTGGAACTTTTTCCTAGTATTTCTTAAAGTGTATTGACAAAGACAATTCAAAATGACTATGGTAAAGGTCCAAGATGAGGCCTTTGCACCACCCAAGTAGCCTTAAAGGGGCCCTACAAGGACTTTTTTACTGGTTTTTAATTTGCACCGAACCTGAACGTCATACTTGGGTAGTAATTCATTTACAGTAATTGAATTGAATTACTGTAATTTGATTACTTTTCTTTGTAATTGTAATTAATTACTTTAGACTAAAAGGAATTGCAACTGTAATTTAATTACTTTCTAGTGTCAGTAATTGCAAAATTTCAGGCACAATTACAATTACAAGACTTTGTTGAGCCGACAGAACCTCACCGAAAGCCTCAGCACTCGCACAAGCGGCCTAGCGTTCGGTGACACACTCGCACACATAGACACGCTTGCACATACATGCACAATAAAAATAGTATTGCATTGTTTGTTGTTTTGTTGCTCACACTGCGGGCTGAGAGACAATCCTCTTTGGAGTCTACCAAAACGGCAGTGTGTGGCGCCGTCTACAGAGTGAGCAAAAAACAATAGCGTAAACATGCCAAAATATTGAAAAGAAAAAAAATGGAGCTTCAGCTTTCAGCCGAGCTTAGCAAGTTTAATTGTCTATGTCTGTTTCTTTTTCCGGCCAGCTTTTATGTTTTTCTTCCAGTATTGTCGCATATTTGTATCTATGTATTATTTTCAAGTTTATTTCCTGTTGGCTCTACTTCGGATATTATTTGCATAAGCATTTCGGACTGACCTCGCACCTGTGAGTATTGTCACCAATGATTCGAAAGCCTGGCCACCTGATCGTTGGAACTGTCGTCTGCTCTTTCAAACGTTTCTGACTGTCGTCCGCTCTTTTAGACAACACCGGCCCATAGACCAAATGTTGGCCCAGTACTTGCGATAAGAAGTAAGTGCAGGTCTCAAAATACTTAAGTTTTGAGGTTGGTAAGCAGGCTCGATGTAAACAGTAGATGCAAGGAGATGTTGATCATTGTTACCAGTGGCCACCACCGATTTGTTATGCCTGATTTACTTGGTCCGTCCGATTCTGCTTGCCATTTTCAGCATCAACGTCGACGATCTCCGCTATGGTTCACGCTTTTGCAGCCCGAGTGACGTCGCGACTGAAATTTGCGAGCGAACTCTCATCATGCGAATCAGGCTTTAGCATCCATTCTGCAGCGTCCATGCAGAATGAGTCGTCGCATGTCACATTATTCACACAAAGTTTTGCAGTGTAACGAGCCTCAGTAATTTCACTGAGACCGCTGAAGTAGTCAGACATTGCCAGGAAGACCTAGAATCAACAATTCAAACTCGAAAAAGGGCAGGGGGACTCACGCTGACGCCAACAACATAGCATTTCAATGGTTTGTTTATGGATGACCGCGAGCTTCTTGCCGATACTACATCACGCATGCGTGGCGCCGGTGGCGTCTGCTAGGGGCGCTCCGGTTTGTTTGTAAACATGAGTTGGTGTATACAGCGCTGTGACTTATATGCATTTTTTTTCTAGAAGCATGAAGTTTAACTGCGCAAATTTGCCACAGAATTTGTATCTTTCGTTCAATATGCTGACGAGAATATTGAAACTTGCTCTCGCCTGTGCATATCTTGAGATCATAACACACATTTGTGGGCTATTCAATGCAGTTTCGCCGTGTCAACCATACGAATACATAGGCACTATTTATACAAAGATTGAAGTTGCATACCAACTTTTTTTTCTGAAAACTGCCATTTATAGGTTGGAGCAACTCAAACAAAAATGTGACTTATAGAGCAGCAAATATGGTAGTTTAAACGAAGGGATGACCAAAACTCTTCCCTGTTATTAACAAAAAAAAAAAAAAATTCTTTCATATAAAAAAAAAAAAATAAGTACCTCTGGTTCTAGAGAGTGCAGAAGTGTTTCTCAATTTCTCAAATATAAACAGTAATGCCCAAAGTTTGCTCCTGAAGCTAAGCAATAGAGTCGGCGAAGCTTTAAAAACAGGATTCCTTTTTTTTTTTTAACTTATATTTAGTCACCGTCTGGGCTTACATTCTACCGCAGGCCGATGAGCAAAAAGGTTCCATAAACATCCTCTGAGAGATTTGCTTTCACGGTCTCGTGCCAAAACATGTGAAACCGGTCGAAGGCGGCACATACTCGCAGGCTCTAGAACAAATCTGGGCAACTATAAATGGGCTTTGTCTCAATAGAAGCTGACAAGAGAAGAAACACAGGAAGCAGGTCCCATGCGATAACAGTGTGGAATCCGACGGAATAAAATGTGGCAAACTCACAGTAAAATGAAAGTGAAAGGTTCCAACACAGTCGCCAAGATTACAGGTCACTGACCCACATTCCGACATAATACCGGGCTCGGACAAAGCAAGAAAGATAGCAAAGAGGTGTAGTTAGGCGACAGAAGACGGTCGCAACTGACCACCAACCTGCCAGCCTTTAGCGGTTGGTAGGGGACGATATAAACCAGAGAAGACGGTTGGGAAGCTCGGAAGGAATAAACACC